GATCTCAGCATGTCCATGTCACAGGGTTTCATAGTGTTTCACCTTGCTGAGCCAGCTGGGGTTGAGGTGTGATAAGTGCACACCCCAGACAGGCCTGGAGGTAATGGGCTTGTCATTAACATCGATCATCTCCTCCTTGGTCAAAGTGAGCTCCCTGGAGGGAGGACATGGATGTCCCCTCTCTTCCTTGGGGACATTGGAGGGAGAGTATGGATGTCCCCTCTCTTCCCTGGGATTTCATTTGACCCTAAATACCAGTTAAGTGCCAGGACCTGAGCTAGGAGGGTCAAACATTGTGACCACAGGGTCCCCCAGGGCCGGCATGAGAGCAGACAGGTGGTGTTGCCCCAGCCATAGGGTGATCACCTGGGGCAGCTCAGTGCCTGCCCCTGAGAAAGGGAGAGAGGCAGTTCGAGGAGCCCAGGGTCCAGTACCGCAGGGCCCCATGACAGTGACACTGGAGCCTGGAAGCTGACTTGAGTTTCTGTGCTGTTTTAAATGTGCTTTTGCTTCAATGATTATTTATTTATTTAGGTGCTGGGGATTGAACTTGGGCCTCGCCCACACTAGGCAAGTGCTCTACTGCTGAGCCACACCCCTAGCCTGATAATTTATTCTTTATCTGTATCATTATTGATTAAGAGAGGAAAAGAAGTAATTTTTCTTAGCTTAATAAAATCTGAGCAATTTTTATACTAGTTGAGCTCAGTTTAATCAGATCAATAAAGCCAGTGCCAGTGGATTAAATATTTTAGAGCTTAGTTTCCTATAATAAGCATACAGTGAAGAAATAGAATTTTTAAAATAGTAGACACACATACAGGTTAAAGGTTTAATAACAACTAACCAGGGGTTTCAGGAAGCCTGGCCCAGAGGAGCTGGTAACAGTGCTGTCCAGTGGAAGGGAGGCAGCAAACCTTAGAACGCCCTTGGCCTCAGGCATATCTGCTGTTAATAGTCAAGGTGTTCAGCTGGTGCGTCCTCCAGCCACCCTGTCCCTTCAGCACATGCAGAGGCCAGCCCAGGGCAGTGTTCTCAGAGCCTCATGACAAAGCTCAACAATCATTAATCTCTCAATGTTCCTGCTGTTAAAAGCCAGTAGTTTTTGGTTTTAGCTTTTAATTTAACCAAGGATGAATCCAGCAGGTTGGGGTTTGATTTTTCAAGCTATCATAGCTCCCTTTTGAAGCTTGCTCCATAGAGTGCCTTATTGACCACTTAGCTTTTAATCCTCACGACAATTGAGCGCAGAGACAGAGGAACCAGCCCAAGGTCCCTCCACTGGAAGTGATGGAGCTGGTTTGTGCCAGCTCCTCCGCTTATGCCTCCTCCCGCTTCAAACATTGTGCCCACGTGGATGTGGTAGCACAGCCTGTAATCCCAGTAACTCTGGAGGCCAAGGCGGGAATGCGAGTTGAGGCCAGCCTCAGCAACTTAGTGAGATAGTGTCTCAGAATAAAAAATCTTTAGAAAGGACATGAGATGTAGCTCAGTGGCAAACATACTGGGCTCCATCCCTGGTGTGGAAAAACAAGTACGGGGCCAGGTCAGGGTCACCTTGGTCCCTGTTTCTGAACCCAAGTGTTTTGAGGCCTCTTTTATTTAATAGACTTCCCCCCTACTGTTTTCCTTGAGATGTCTGGAAACTTATTCAAAAGTTGAAAAATCTTTCAAAGACCTAGTTATTAAAAGTAGGAAAAATATACACCATAGCTTGTCTTCTGAAGGAACCATTTTTGTACTTAAAAGGCAGATTCTCAATCTCCTTGTGCATTGAGGAAAAATAGCATTCATGAATGCAAGGTTTTTTTTTTTTTTTTGAGGGGGCAGGAAAACTTCAACCGTCATCTTTTAATATTTACTTAATTTTTTAGTTGTAGATGGACTCAGTACCTTGATTTTATTTATTTTTTATGTGGTGCTGAGGATCGAATCCAGGGCCTCACACATGTCAGGCGAGTGCTCTGTCGCTGAGCCCCAACACCAACCATCATCTTTTAGCAACTCAGTTTTCTTCTTTCTTCCTCATTGTTGACGAGGCTATGTTGTTGCACTTTTTGAAAGAACATATGGATAATTCACTGCCATTTCCAAAACCCAGCATATGGCTTTCTGTGGCAGTCCAGGAAATGGGGAAGCATCCTCACCTTCAGGCAAGTAGAGCTTCTTTCCTTTTAGATTTGAGGACTGGCAGAGAGCAGCAGCTGAGCAGGCCGGCAGTGGGCACAGCTGTCTCTGAGAGATGCTTCTGGTCCACCCGGCCCTGGGCTGGTGTGTGGGCCACAGCGGCTCTTGCCCTCCTTTTCCATGGAGAGGATGTGGGGGTCCTTGGCCCTTGGTCACGCCCAAGACCTTCCCACAGTCTCCATCCACTTGGCTGGAGCAAGCTTCTCAGGACTCAGCTAGAGCCTGAGCGGGAGTGGAGGCTGAGGGAGTGACCCTCCTCTGCCCCTTTTTTATGGGTGGGAGAATTTGCCAGCAGGGCGCAGCATGGTTGGTTTCTGATCGCTGTCTGCAGTTGAACAGATAAGGAAGAGCTTGGCTTCCAGATAAATTTCAGGAAAGGAAGATAGAGTAAATTTGAGAAATGCTAATTAGACCGATTCATCAAAAAGTGATTTTTTAAAAAATATATTTTTTAGTTATAGGTAGACACAGTATCTTTATTTTATTTTTATATGATGCTGAGAATTGAGTCCAGTGCCTCTTGCATGCTAGGCAAGCACTCCATCACTGAGCCATGACCCCAGCACCCCAAAAGTGATTTTTAAAACATTGACCCAAGGGTCATGGTGCTGCTGGCCTAATGAGGGAGAAACACAACCCCAAGGCACCTGGAAGTCAGCTCCCGGGTGACTTTCTAAAGAATTCTGTTAGAAATACAATTTACAAAAATCTCTTCCTACCCCAGAACAATGGATTTCATTTTGGTTGCTCTTTTCCTTGTCTTTGCCACATGGCTTTCATTGGACACACCGAGATGTAAGAACCCGTGTCAAGCATTAGCCATCTTGCTGCAGATCGCTGCTGCGGTTCTCCCCATCAGGGCAGCGCGCTCTCAGGCAGAGGCTCGTGCTGCCACAGCTGCTCCCTGGGGCTGGACAGCCAGGCGTGTGCAGCAGCTCTTCACTGCTATGGCCTCTGTGACCTGGAGTCAGTCTGCTTTCGGCACCGACACCGGGTGGCCATGGATACCTTGTGTGCTACTACATCTTGGTAGTAAAATGGTTTAGGGCTTGTGGAGCTTAAAGATGGAGAGATTTTCCAAATATTTCTGAACTTTTCTGTGATGACAAGTAGCTGCCGATTGTAGGCCCCTAGAGCATATTTTAAAAATCAGTGTATTTAGTCATCCATCAAGGTAAGGGTGCGCCAACAAAGGAGGAGAGTACTGCCTTCCCAAAACATTTACCATGGAGAGAATTTCTTGAAAGCAGATACTTCTTTGGTACTGGTGATTGAACCCAGGACCTCAGGCATACTAAGCACGTTATATACCACTGAATGTACGCCAGCCCCAGAAGTCAGATGTTTTCAATTTTTTCCATTGTTTCTGCGCCCCATCTCTCTCTCTCTCTCTCTCTCTCTCTCTCTCTCTCTCTCAAATTATTATTATTACTTTTTTTTGCCAAAAACAGTCTAAGAGTATAACCTATTAAAAACCTTAATGTCTATGGCCTTAACCTGAGCTCAGTGTTTCTTTAATCTGTTTTAAAATATGTTTTTGTTTTTTGTTACTGGAGACTGAACCCAGGGTGTTTAACCACCGAGCCAAGTCCCCAGCCCTTTTTTAATATTTTATTTGGAGACAAGGTCTCACTAAATTGCTGAGGCTGCCCTTGAGCTCATGATCTTCCTGCTTTAACCTCCCAAGCCTCTGTGATTACAGGTATGTGCTATGTTTTAAAATTCTTTAAATGAAGATTTCAGTGTATTTTGAGCTGAATTTTTCAGTGAATTTTTGTTAAAAATGGGAGAATGTAGCTCTGATACTTTCTGATTGATTGCAGGAGCCATTTTTTTTTATTTTTTTAAGGGAAAAATGGAGCTCTACAAGTGAAATGTTTATAAGCTCCTTTGTGCTAAAGATGGAGGGAAGTATGTGGGGTTCCAGCACACCAAGCGAGGCAACCTTCAGGAAGTGCTTTCTGAATCGAAAGAAAAAACACTACTTCCTGGGCCTACAGTGGGCATGATGTGAGATCTTGGCATCATCCTCCTTGGCCACCAGCTTCTCACATCCCCAAGTGGAGAGTTCAGCGGGGGGCACAGGCAGAGGAGGTCTCCCTGCTGTGCTGTGAGAGACCTTGCAAAGTCTGAGGGCCGGTGTTGGGCAGGTGCCGTGCCTGGTGTGTGAACCTGGCCCTTGGGGTCAAGTATGGGGACAGCACTCGGACTCTGCTGTGGGAGAATGCCTTCCATGTTGGACTTGGTTTTTGATGCAGTTTCAGGAGCATTAAGTGTGACTGGTGAGAATTACAGTGCTCTGGGATGTGGAGGCCTCCCTTGGTCATGGAGGGAGCCCTGGCTTTGACCTACCCTGAATTATTGGCATGTCTGAAGTCTACATAGCACACCTGTAAATGATCATAGTGCTAGTGCTGTTTTCTACCCCACATGTGTGCCTGCATGCACACAAACACTACCGCCCTGCACACAGCACTCAACAGACAGTCTTGAGTCCCATAGGACCAGGGAGACCCCAGTGGTTCACACCTCATGTCCATTCTGTGGCTTGGCTGCCTCAAGGCCACTCTTACTTATTGCCAGCCTGTCAGGTCCTGTGTGTGGGGAGAGCTCAGCCAGGTACAGTGGGGTGGCGGAGGATGAAGGCAGATGTGCCGCTGTCGTTGTGTTTCCAGGTCTCCCCTGGTCATGAGGGGCTTGTCCAGGTGAGTGGCCCTCTTGCGCAGCTTCCTTACCAGTCGGTATTTTAGCTTTAAGATATTTATTTTTGTGATCTAAATATTTTCTAACCCTCTCTTCTGTTTGTGTTGTAGGAACTCAGCTATTTAGTGGTCGAAGTGACTTTAGAATCACCACCTTGAAATTTCACCCAAAAGACCACAGTATTTTTTTATGTGGAGGCTTCAGCTCTGAAATCAAAGCGTGGGACATAAGGACTGGCAAGGTAACTCCCTTCTTCCTAGCTGGCCTTTCCATGGGAGAGCTTACCTTGATGATTTGAATATCTGGGGACAGGTCAGCCTCTATGTAGAGACCTTAAGATGGAATAATTACCACTGAAAAGTTAATCAGCACTAGCAGAATTTTAAGATCTTCTCTGAGAGACTATCATTGATTTGTTTAACTATCGAAGCATTATACAGGCATTCCTAGGCCATGTATTTCTAGAAGTCCTTGTTGGACACCTACTGTGTGCAGGCGCTATCCTAGGCCGTGTGTTCCTAGAAGTCCTTGTTGAACACCTACTCTGTGCAGGCGCTTTCAGATGATATATAAAGACAATCAGCTTTGGTTGCTCAAGGAATGACTACAGATGCAGATCACTGTGGTGCAGAGAAATGCTTTTCGTGCATGATGATGTGCACGAGAGATGTGGAGAGGCCAGCATTGGGAGGACATGAGGGCTTTCAGTTGCCTCCAGAGGCCTGGGAGCACCTAGAGGAGGTGCTACTTCCTGTAGGGCTTCTCACATCCCCAAGTGGAGACTTCAGGGGGGGCCACAGGCAGAGGGGGTCTCCCTGCTGTGCTATGAGAGACCTTGCAAAGTCTGAGGGCTGGTGTTGGGCAGGTGCCATGCCTGGTGTATGAACCTGGCCCTTGGGGTCAAGTGTGGGGACAGCACGTAGAGGAGGTGCTCCTTCCTATAGGGCTTAAAGACTGGTGAGATTTCCACTCCCACCCTCCACTGCTACCTGCTGCCTTCACCACCTCCTGGATGGCAGCTCCTCCTAGTCCTTCAGGCCTGAACAGCAGAACTGCTCTTTCCACCATACCCCATGCCCTAACCTGCAAGCAAAGCCTGTCGACCACCTTCAGACTCTGGCTGCCCATCCTCACGTTCACTGTCCAGTTCTGGCCTCAGCTGCCATAGTCTCTCTGGGACAATCGTAGAGGCTTTTGATCTGGTCTGTCTTACCCTGGCCCTTAAGAGTCTTTCTAATAAGCATCCAGAGCAGTCTGGGTTCCTGTCTTGATCACAGTAAAAGCCTATATCCTCACAATGGACTGAAAGGCCTCATCGATGTCCTTATACCTCTCTGATCATCTCCAACCTGCTTGGCCTCTGTGCCTTTCCTAGAACACACCTGCATATTCCTGCCTCAGGGCTTTTGCACTGCTTCTTCTGCCAGGAGTGCTTTTTCTTCCAGTTTTCTACGCAGAGGCTAGATCCTCCCTCCTTTGAACGTTGTTCAATCGCCCCTCTCCAGTGAGGCCTCCCTGCCGCCACCCACTGGCATTCAGTAGTCCCCTCCACTATCTTAGTTCTCTCCTTAGGTTTTGTCATCACCTGGCGAGCTATGATTTTTCAGGATCATTTATTTTCTGGTCTTCCACCTCTGAAGTGGAAGCTCTTAGCTCCCAGGGATTCTTGTTTGTTGTGGGCCCCTGGCTTTTAGAACAGTGTTGTAGGAATGGTGAAGGAAGGGGGAGTACATCATGCATAGGACACCAGGTGTGTGTGGGGACTGGCGACCAGCAGGACTTGGCTGGGTGTATGCTCCAGGCAGTGGGATGGGCCTGGGCACAGATACTTCTGATGCCGTGAGTCTTGATTGGGATTAGTTTGTGAGCAAGGGGGTCCAGAGCAGGGCTGAGGAGGTTCTGTGACCATGGGTGGGCCCACTGCCTGTGGGTCCCGATGACTTCAGGTCTGAGAAGTGCTGCTCTGGGTAGAAGGGGACAGGCTGAAGTGGCCCCTGATGCCTTCTTGAGCCTGCGTGGAAGCTGACTGCGGAGGAAGGTGCAGAACGCCTGTGTGTTCTCCCTCATTTGGGATTCAGGGCCTCACGGGCCTCACTCTGAGGACCTCTAGCCGGCTGTCCCTGCAGCTCCAGAAGGTCCTCCCTGAAGGTACCCTCCTTGAGCTTCTGGCCCTACTCTGGCAGGTTAGTCTCCTGGCCACTGTATTGAGCAGAAGCCCTTCTGGGGAGTTTGGGTGGGGCAGGTAATTGGCTGCTCCAGGAAGGCCCTCCTTCAGCAGGCTGCCCAAGGGGCTGCCTGGGGTTTGAGGAGAACCCAAGGGAAGAGGTCTCTTTCTTGAAAGAGAACAGGGAGTCTGTCTAGTCCACAGGTCAGCTCTTACTCAGTGTGCTTCACCAGTGCCCATAGACCCATGTACTCTTTAAAACAAAAACAAACAAACAAACAAACAAAAAGTTTATCTGTTACAAAGAAACTTACAAAAAATGTTTAGAAAAGAGAGGAAAATTACCCTTAAAGAAATGGATATGGTATAATTAAGAAAAAATGCTAGAATGCCTTATAGTCACGATCAGCAAAGAAGACATTTGAACATGCTACGTACCTCGGAAGCTCTTCTCATGACACTTGCGGTGGGACCACCTGATTCCCAATCCTTCCCGACAGCCACCCTGAAAGGTGCCCTCACTGTTTTTAGCCTTAAAGACCAAACACGTAAGAAATTACTCACCACAGACACCATCTGATTTGAGAGTTTGTTAAAAATGTTGGATTTCCTCCCAGGGCCGACGCCAGCTGCCGTCTCTGAGACCCCTGGGAGAGGCAGTTAGAGGCAGGTGTTGGCGCGGCTGGCATCGGTTTGTCTGGAGCCCTCCGAAGCTCGGACTGGGGGTGATGGGATCTGTGCACACTTGTTTCTTTTCCCCTGTGGTTTTATTTTTTAGTTTAAAAACACTGGTCTTTTTACCCACACTCCTCCCCCACCGGGTCCCAAGGGGAGGCAGTGGTAGTTCCGTTTGCCCAAGCCGGGCTCAGGGGCACTCTCCTGCTGGATATCTGCTAGAGGGACTCTGTGGGAGGTCCAGCCTCTGGCCCTTGGGGCTGAGGTGGCTCCTGCAGCCTGTGGCTCTGTCCCTGGTGCTGAACCGTCACCAGGCATGAGCTCCCATTATGGTCAACAGTGGCCCTGCAGCAGGGACACAGCCTTAACTTAAGAAAAGCAACAACCCCTTCCAGATACAACAGGGAGTGGAGACAGCCATGTAATGAAAGGGAAACCCGGGAAAGGAGAGGCAGTGCACCAGCCCAAGGGGAGCAGCTAGCGGCATTTTGATGTAGTTTTTTTCATTATTCTTTCCCCCTGTGGTTTTATTTTTTAGTTTAAAAACACTGGTCTTATTTTTATACACAACTCCAGATTTTGCTTTTCACATAGGTTATAAGGGTTTTTCTTGTTATTATGAACTCTTATAAAAGCTTTGGTGATATTCCTTTGACTCCATATGCCTTCCTGTCTTGCCCCCACCGTAGCCCCCAAACTCAACAGTGTCTAGTAGGCACTTGGTAGATCTGTCGAGTGAATGCAGCAGATGCATGAATACGTTAATGGCTTATTAAGTCATTTATGTTGGATATGTAGAATATTTCAAAACTCTTTGCATTTAAAACTAATAAATGTGAGCATAGAGATCAGGGCTCAGAAAAATGCAGCCCAAAGCTAAATCCAGCTTGCTACCTGTTTTTATAAATGATGTTTTATTGGAACACATAGCCATTCACTTATGTACCATTCTGTCCTGCCCTCACAGTCCAGGAGCAGAGCTGAGACCACAAGGCCTTCAGAGCCAAAAGTATTTACCCTCTGGCTGACGCTTGGTAAGGAGAGACTTGGTTCTGACACTTGTCATCCTGTTGGTTACTAGGAATGCTTGACAAGGTGGAAATCCTAGACGTAACCTGTTTTGTGTATCCTGGCAGAAACCAAATACTCTGAGAATGTCTTTTTAGATGGTGGAAAACTGTTCTTCAATCAGGGGTGTGTCTGTCATTTCTCTATGATCACCAAGAACACTACCAAGGTTAGCTTTATCATCTGTTCCACCATAAGAACAGATGCACCCAGCTTTGTGCACCCAGCTTTTCCCATGTCTGGGATTTACTCCTTGAACTCAAATTGCTGAGTTCAAGTGAGCCAATGTTTTGAGGGGTTTCTGCCGACAGGACTGAGGCTAGCAGGCCCACTGCTGGAGGGTGGCCCTGGAGGCCAGGCAGCTTCTCACTGGGATCTTAGGGAGCAGAGTCTGATGAATTGTTGCAGCAAATAACTTTTCAGCTACATTCCAGTCATGAGATTTTATGGTTCCTTCAACTTAGTCAAATGATAAATGGTGGGATTTTGAACTTTTCTAGTCAATTCATTACAGCAAATGAGCTTTTTGGCTCCCCTTCCTCCTTTTCCTGGCTGATCTCTCTGCCTTGAGTTTGGTGATTGGAGCACATCTCATCACTGGAAAGTGCCTGACTTCAGTTCTTCATAGCCAGTTAGGTAAGCATGCTTCCTCAGTCCTGGCTTAATGCCTTTGGTACCACATGGTGACTCTTCTTCCTCCCAGCAGTCTGTTTGGACATGGGTGCCAGCCAGAACCCATGACGTCTGTGGTCTGACTGTCATGGTACTGTGGGAGTCCCTCTCTCCTGATGTTCCTCTGGGTCCCCAGGGCCAGTGGCCTGAATTACAGGAGAAAGGGTTCTTGTCTTCCTCCCACTTGCTCAGCTGGGTGAGCTGAGGTGAAACATGGGTTACTTTGCTTAAGTGCACCGTTTCCTCACTGGTGTGGCCATGGCATGATGAGGTGACCTCCTCAGCAGTGTTCTCAAACCTGCACAAGTGTAGGGAGCCCTTGGGCTCACACTAGGATGCAGTTCTGGGGCAGAGAGGAGATGTCTTGCATTGCCAGCCGGCTCCAGGAGATGTAGAGGGAGGTGCACGTGGATCACACTCTGAGAAGCTGGGACTCTGTGCCCAGCACATCTTGGGAACTATACATCCCAGCCTGGGAACTATAGAGCTGATGAAGAGGTCTGAGACATGGACCCAGCCCTCCAGGGCCCAGCAGCCCTGTGGGAAATGTCCCATGGTAGTCACCTCAACTCACCTTGAGATGATTGTGTTTTTTATTTTGTTTTGTTTTGATACAGGGAATTGAATCCAGGCCCTTGTGTGTGCTAGGCAAGTAGTGGGTT